TCTACAACCAACAGCAGCTGATTAACATCTCAAAAGCTCAAATAATATCTCAACTACAGCCCCAAATCTCAGATGAGTTGAAAGGATGTGCTGTGGATGCATTCTCATCTACCTGTCAGCTGTGCTCGAGTGCCTGATCACTGAGATCCTGGAACTAGCAGGAAACACGGCTCATGACAGCAGAAGGACAGGATCGTCCCACAGCACCTACAGCTAGCTGTCCGCAGTGACGAGGAGCTCGGCAGACTGCTGGGAGGAGTGGCCATCATTCTGGGAGGAGTTCTGCCCGGCATTTGAATGGTCTACAGCCCGGGGGAACCAAGGAGTGCCTGACCACTGAGATCCTGGAACTAGCAGGAAACATGGCTCATGACAGCAGAAGGACAGGATCGTCCCACAGCACCTACAGCTAGCTGTCCGCAGTGACGAGGAGCTCGGCAGACTGCTGGGAGGAGTGGCCATCGTTCTGGGAGGAGTTCTGCCCGGCATTTGAATGGTCTACAGCTCGGGGGAACCGAGAGGCCAGCTGAGTCTGGGTGGACTGATTGGACGGCATCTGCAGCATGGACCTTTACAAGAGATCCTTCCTGCCTACAGCCATCAGTATCTATAACATATCTTAATGAAATGAGGATAACGAGTTACAACAACAAATAATTTCCCTTTGGGATTAATTAACTATTTTTGAGTTGAATTGAATTGATCCGTTTGAGATTGGATTATGCGTTGTAACTATCAGCTAACCACAACACCAAATTTTAGCTCAATATCTATAAAAGTTAGCCATTTACCTCCAATGAATGTTTTTAGTTTAAAATTGATCCGATGTTTCGTTAACAAACACAAAAACATTCAAATACACACAAAAAACACAAACACATTTTGCCTTTAACGGTGGGTGATATTCAAGTAGTTTCTGCTTCTAGGAAACAAACGCAATAAAAAATGTTTGTGTCTTGTTCCTCCGGGGGATTTTGACCCAGTTAGTAACTTCTACGCTTTCGAGTGATAATTTTTACAGCAGCAATTATTCATGCAGGGCACGTTTTCATGCTAAATGTCCATACTTATGTTCGCCATAGATTAAAATAAAAGAGATCAAACTGCATCAACCACCGTCCAAAACATCCAACCTGCATGCAAATATACCATCACAGGACAGAAGTAGCAGCGCAGATAAAAGAGCTGGAATTATAAAGAGGAGAGGAAAAAAGATCTGAAGGAAACGGGTGGGGAGGAGGACAGGAGCTTTCTAGCAATATAAGATTTTGTCCATTTTCTCAAAGTGCCTCTAATCCGCTCTAAACTCCAGAACATGTGGGACAGTTTTGTAAAGAAGGTGCAGATAAGCTCAACAACAGCGAGGAGAAGCCAAATAGCATTGCATTGTTGACGTACTTAAACACAATTATCAATAAACCAAAAAGAAAAGGTCCAGTTTGAGGGGGAAACAATCTTAATTTCAGATATGGCTCCAGACAGAAACTGGGCCACTGCAAGCTTTGATGTCTTAATTGTGTGTGTGTGTGTGTGCATGTTATTAATATGAAGGAGGCTTACTGATGAAACACGAGAGATGTAAAGAAACAGAGTAGAAACTGAGAAGATTTGACAAAGACACTAAAATGCAAACAGAAGAGGACATTTGGAGAGAAAAGACAAAAGACAAGACAAAGAAGAGTGAGAAATGGAGGCAGAGCACACTTCAGATGTAGAAACGAGAGTGACAGAGCTGAAGCCACTGTGGAATCCTGGTTGAATAGGCCCTGATTGAAAGAGCCACGGGGTCAAAGCTGGGCCTCTGCTGCTGAAGCCGCCTCCTTTGGAAATTATAGTGTACTTTGTAGGACATGATGGACAGTCCTCTGGTGGGTTTATAGGGCAGCTGATTTGAAAGGGAACATGTAAATGGTCCACACTTCTATACGGCCTTTTTAACCTTTCCAGAACTTTACAATTTTAATGGATTATATTTTCTACATGCAGCATTTTTATATTGTTAATTATATACCATTAAGCATATCGGGGGCAGTACAGTGTTTTGTACATGAACAAATCAGCCCAGTGTAGGTTCAGGGAACCAACCCATTGATCTTTTGATAGGAAGACAACCTCCTTGCCACTGGACCCAATCAGCACATAATGTCATTCTACATTTTAAAACAAAGAACAACATTATGAAACCGTAATAATGTCTGCTGAACACAAACATGTATGGTTTCCAGTTGTGAAAATGAGCTCCAAGTTAGCTCTAGACTAGAATATCTAGCACATTTTGTTCAACAGGACATGAAAAATAAAGAAACGACACTACTTAAGGGTTTGAGGCCGTAGGTTACGTATTGTAACCACAGATACTATGAATATGGTGCAGCCCTTTAAGCCACACTATTGGACGCTGAGGACGGCACCCAAAACAATCAAGATGGAAAAGTAGTCTTTAAACATTTAAAAGATGCCAGGACCCCACCTCCATACAACCAGATCTTGAACCCCCGGTTCGAGCGGTGCTCTACACACGTTTTTTTTAAATCCTCATTCTTTTCCCCTCCTTCAGCCACAAGGACTTATTTACCAGAGAGACCTGTTCCAGACAGAACATATAAAGTACAGACAATACTTTAAACGTTCGTTTAAGTATTACCTTTCCACCCTGTGTGTTTGAGCGTTCGTCCTCTGCACCCACCTTCACCGTCAGGTGGGAAAAGGGGGTGCTGAAGGAGGGGAAAGAATGAGAATAAAAACCTGTTTGGAGAGCGCTGCTCGAACTGGGAGTTCAAGATCTGGTTGTATGGGGGTGGGATCCCAGCATCTTTTAAACGTTTTGTTTAAAGACTACCGTGACGTCCTCAGCGCCCAACAGTGTGGCTTAAAGGGCAAAGCCATAGAACAAGATGATCATTTCTTGATAAAATAATAGAATTGTAGCTGTTTTAGTCCAATTGTAAAAATAACATATAATTGTTGCAATATCACAAGATTTGAGAATCACTATTATCTATTACCACATCAAATATTAGCTTCATATATGTAAAACTGATTACGAGACATTTATGTGTTGGGTATTGTAGAATAGCTGTGCAGCTTGAATTGGAAATACAATCCTACAATTAGGTTTGACCCTGTCTTAAAATATAAAAGTCATCATTGGTAAACTTCACTAAATCATAAACATGTCTATGCCATGTTTATGTCATATTAACATTTTAATTACAAGCTTTCTTTATGAAGTGTCAGCAGTTATAGCCAAAAAAAAAAGGGGTTGGTGATGTTTGTAATTTGTGTGGTCAACATTACAGCCACTGGAAACTATGAAAAAATTAAATCTTTTTCATAATGCAGAATAAAGGATTGGCCTAAACTGAACAAGTAAGCTTTGTCCATTTCTATATTTACCCCTTTTCCACTAAAGCTGTCCCAGTGTCGTTTCAGCGCCAGCGCTGGATTTCAAACCAGTTCTGTTTGTTTCAACTGCCAAACCAGTGTCTCCAGGCCAGGACAACCAGTGCTACTGTGGTACCAACTCTTTGCTGGTCGGAAGAAAAGAACTGCTACCAACGAAGGGTTGTAGAGCAAACAAACTAAATATCTTACCCATAAACCTCCCATCTGGTATCAACAAACACTTTTCAAGAAACATCCTAAATTCCCTGCTTACGTTCTCAGTTTGTTGAGAAAATTGAGCAGAATAAGAACAGAACGCATCATAGCCACTAACACATAAACCAAATATATTTAGCAAAACATTACATCTGAGAAAGGGGATAAACCATACTCTTGTCATGAACAAAGCTACTACATTCATCGGTCACTGGATGGAGACAACTACGAACGGGTTTAATAATCATATTTGATGCATTGCAATGTGGACATAAATGATCTTGAATCAATTATAAAATGTAAAAAAAAAGCAGCTATTATTTAATATTAATGAAGTCACGAGAAAGGCAAAGGGTAAATCTATGAAACACAGTGCCCAGACAGTGCAAACAAAGGAGCTGATGAGACATATTGACCACTGGCCGATTGTAACCACTGCTTATTAACACGAACCAGTGGAATATCAAGCAACTATTAAAGATGTCACCTAACTCAAAAAAGGAAAAGTAATTTACAAAGTCCATTGCAACTTGCGTCCATATTCAGGTTTTGAAAACCAGGACTTGTAGCAACTTTGCTGAGTACTTTGGAAGCGAAGCGAGATATAAGCTGATCCTTTGTTGAAGACATACTAACACAGCATATAACCCAAGCCCTGTGGAAGAATACTATACTATTAGTGATAACTGAACTACGTTCCAGAAGGTCTGCCACCAGAGTTACAAGTTTATAAGTCATAAATGTGCATAACTGTGTTTGAGCATGTATACAGTATATAACGAGTTGGATGCAAAATAAATATGTAAATCCCTAAACTTGAAAACAACTCTACATGCTCAACAAATTGTGTGTATGTGTGGCACGGGCCTCACCTGGGGGCTGACACTGGGGCCGTAGCCCATGCCAGGTGAGTTCATAGAGTGGGGCCCCATGGGTGAGCTAATAACAGAGAACGGTGATGTCAGGCCATTCATCGGTGAACTCAGGGTGCTGATTGGAGAGTGCAGAGAGCCAGAGGGCCCCATAGATGCTGGGCTCAGCAAAGGGGGGTGCATTCCTCTGTGGGATATAGGCGAGCCCAGGGGAGATGAGGTCACCTGTCCTGATGAATCTGTTGAAATAATTCAGAAAAAGAGAAGCGTTATAAAAAATAATTCAAACCAGAAGGACTTTGATTGCTTAATTTCCCATAAAACAAACAAACAAAAAAAAAAAAACCATGCTGTTCATGAATACCCTTTTTTTAAGAAGAGTGTTTTCACATTGAAGCTAATAAAGAGTTTTTCCTAACCACAGCTGTTGGAACCAGACGTCTAGCACATCTGGTGAAGTGTGAGAACAGGTGTTGCACTTGAGCACTATCCAGAAAAATGTACAGTTCAGCAAAGACACCCATAACAACTAAATAAAGGTGGGATTTTCTTTGTAGTGTAAAAACAGCTAAAGCTAAAGCAACAACCAAATGGGATTCTGGCAACGTTGACACATTTTCTGGTTCTGTCCCTCAAGCTTGAAAAGCGCCTCCTTCAGAAACGTAAGGTCAGCATGTAGAATGTACCTACTGTATAATGCATGTGGTTGATGAGTGAGGTGGTAGACCCAGGAGATTGGAAAAACATGACCTTGCACCACAGCTGAGGAGAAACCTGCAGTGAGACTATTCTGTGGGAGCGATACGGCTAAGGTCATGTGTGAAGGAGCCCATGTTCTCTCTCTGCCAGGCTTCCTCCTCCTAGACTTGAGTCCTACTCTTTCCCTCGACTTAGTGGGCTATCTTGCCATCAGCTGTCAACACGGAAGATGCAAGACCGACTGGAACGTAAGCAAAGGCGGTTTGACATACCGAGACTTTGGCAGCAAGGTTTGTACGTGCACTGATGACACCTCCCTCCCTCCTTTTCTCCTCTCACTCTCTTTTGCCACCATTCATGCATAAGTCTGTCCCACATTTTGTACTCTGACCCTCTTCCACTGTTTTCTTTTTTTTATGCCTGCACATCAGTTTTTTCATATGGAGGTCTGAACAAGCATGTGGCAGATCTTTCAGATTCCAAAATTCTCAAAATAATTTTTAAATACGTTTCAGATCGTAAAGAAACTTTTGAACTTTTACACTTTCAGAAATGATTGAAAAGTGCAAATAACACTGTCTCTAAGAACCATTAATTCATTTAATTTCGCATTGGTAAACTTTCAAACTGCACCATTTGATAGCTCTGGATACCCTTTGTATGTTCGATTTCAAAGTTTGCAATGAGTACCATTATGCAAAATATAAGTACTTCATAATGGCAGCCCTATATGAATGGAGGGCAGGATAAATCTATTGCCATCTTGTTGTTTGTTCACTCCCTATAATATAATAAATGCTTATGCAAGGGAAAACACAAACACCCTTTATATCAACTATTCCACTGGCCAAATCAAGCCAATCCAACCGTACCGTACTGGTTTTAAAACATGACGTAAGAACACTGTCACTGATTGGTCAGGGGGTGGAGTCACCGGTTGTTTGAGAAACTTTCACAACAACCCGATCCGCCATTCGCAATAACTCGAAGTCAAGAAGGGACTGGACCTATTTTTAAGATTTTTAAAAACAATAATGACAACACCGTGCAGGCGTTTCTTGTGCTTGGTGGCCAACGACAAAATTCAGAGCCAGCTAGATGGAGCTCTGCCAGTCCCACCGGTCCTCTCCACTGGAGCCCCCTCAAGCTGGGCAAGGCGTCATCCCCCTGGCTCCGAGCTCCACCAGTCACCGCGGAGGATCCTTTGTGCTGTCGACCTGCAGGAGCGCACGAGGCCAGGGTCCGGGCCCTGGCCTCACGTGCTCCTACAGGCTCCGAGCTGAACCCGCCCACTAGAACCATTACTGAACGTATAATGGAAACAACTCACACCGTGCCGAGCTGAGTCGAACTGTGCTTTACCAGTACTAATGGCACTAATGGAAAAGAGGCATAACTGCTGGGTGAGCTCTTGGCTTTCAGTAACTGTGGCCCCCTGCGCAATTTAGTTGAATAGCTCTGCTCTATATCGTCTGGATAAACAAGCATTCATCTAAATAAGGGGCTAACAACAAGTCTGCATGTAGATGAATGAGTTCACTGTTTAATCTCTTGACTGATTCGCCATGAGCTTCTATCCATCTTATTACGATTTTTTTTTCACTTTAACATGTGCTCACATACAATTCCTGAAAGTTTTTTTGTTTTTTTTACTCGCTGAGCAGGCTATTCCCACAGCTGTGCGCCGATTGGGTTTTAATTCAGACAGATAAAGCGCGCTGTGGTATTAGGGTTGCCAATCTGCCATTGTAGGCCTCAGCAGGGGGATTTGAAAAGGGGGTAGCTTAGCTGACAGCAAGGCCCCACCTGGAGGGGGATGACAGATACAAGCTGGGAGGTAGAGCACTCTGCTTACATCTCTGTTTCTTTTATTTATCTTTCATGTCTTTTCTTTCTCTTCTGCAGAGTAGAACAACAAGCGCATCCCTTTACCCCGTTCTCAAGAAGGTTGCTCTCAAAGGATGCTGTTGTATTGTACACGACTGGCGCTCTTTGGTCAAAACTACCACAACATTAAGATTTCTGAAGCCAGAAATGTGTGTGTGCTTTGTGTATTTGTGTGCATGTTTATTCTTGTTGGAGCTGGATTCCCAGTGTCGGATTACAGCTGGATATCAAGGATTCTGTTCTAATCCTCCATGGAGTGGAAAGGAGAAGAGAAAATGAGATAAGTCCAGGCGAGTAGAAATAAATAACACACAACTATTAGGTTAGTAGAAGAAGAAAAAAAGAACATGCATTTCCTCCTTTCAACCAATGTCTATTATAACCTGTTGAGCTGGAACGTGTAAAAACTGTCCTGAGAACCCAACAAACGTCAGCAGTGATTTGCAAACAAGAATAAAATAAACACGTTTGCAAGATTAGATAGGAGTTTGAGTGAAATAAAACCAGTAAGAGAAGGCTGGGACTGACAAGGATTTAATTTCAATCATTTCCCAAAGGAAAAAAACAAAAAAGTGGCAGATCAGAAAATAAAAACGGACTCAGATTTAAATAAAGACTGAAAACAAATTTGTCGCCTGCAGTCACCGCCTGTCAATTGCTCTAGATCGCTGTGCACACAAAGCACAAGTGACAGCTACAAATAGACAAATTAGGGCCAATCTTGCTAGCAGGCGCGAGAAGAGATCACCACTTATTGCCCCTCCACTTCATTCAAGCATGTCTTATTTCTAAACAAGGCCTCTACTCCCTCGCTCGCCTTTCTTGATCTGTTGTTCGGCTTTTGGACGCGATTACGTGGACAAAAACTGCAAATTTTCATTTCGAGCTCCCAGAAGCTTGTGTGTTTAGAATTTGATAAATGGAAAATGCAGATGAGAACAGATAGGGCGATGAAAAGAGACAAAAAAATAATAATAATAACACGAGGAATTTCATCTTGTGCCGGAACAGTTTGTTTACAGTTTTCAGACAGAGGAATTGATGGAGTTGGATTAACGACAACCTTCCAGAAATATAACGTTTCTACAAAGTTGTTCAGTTCTGTTTAGAACATGAGCAAAAGGAATGCCTGACCAGGTTTAAATTTACTTTAAGGAAAACAAGAATAGTCCTAGCCAACTCACTTTTCCATTATTGTAATTTCAAGTTGACCAATCCTAAACTCGGCCTTGTGAGCTCAGTCTCATTTTATCTTGTGTATTATGCAATATTGAATAGTTAGTATTTATTATGTAATTCTTTACATCTATGCTGAGTCACTGATGTTCTGAGCGTAGGTTAAGGCATCCAGCAAGACTTGCTTATAAAATATATTTTCTTCACTGCGTTTATAAATTCATCTTCTGCACATGAACGAGACATTTGACGACAGCGTATGCGGAACAAATTAATTGTTGCTTTTTCAGCTTGTTTGTGTGAAATGTTGACACATGAAAGACATGAACACGGTAATTCTGATGGCTTGCCTTTAAGGGATAGAGAGCCTTTAATTAAATGGAGGTTACATTTGATCATCACTTCACATGCTATTCGTCAACACCAAAAGGAAATAAAAAATCTTTAATTTGACATGAAGGGCACAGTTATTGCATAATGTTGACAATGGCTGAGCATATTTTCATTGAAATGCCAGTATAAGAAAGGTTGCCTACTCAAGGTTATTTTATTTTAACGGAAATAATCTAAAGCCCTGTCTACACTATGCCATTGTTTTATTGAAACTGTAGCTTTTCTGCTGTGGTTTGGCTGTTCATGTCCACAACAGCCATTGATTCCTCTAAAACTGAAGCCCTTTGAATCCAGGTCACAGAGTGGAGGTTTTTGGGAAAGTCTGGCATCAGTGTTGCCAGATATATGATAATTATCACGTTCATATTTTAATTCTAGGGTCAAACCCCCCTCCTTTTCTGTGCACATGTTCACCAATCACAACACACACCTCATCTTACCTCCCCCCTATAAGAAAGCACACTCTCACTCAGCACATATAATAGTTTGGGTCAAAATACAGTAATTTTAAAATGACAGTACTATCTGGCAATCCTTCCTGGAATGAAAAGTACAGTGGATTCAACGAGCACAGCTATATCCATGGAAACAGTTTTTTTTTTCCTCTCTTGCTGATTCGCCACAATAAACATTTTAAAAACACCAAAAGTTCCAGAGATCATTCCAGTATAAACAGGGCCTAAGAAAATCCAGATATTTTTTTTTCCATTTAAACAAATGTTCCACTTACTTTTGGACAGTTAACAAAAGCACATTTTAGCTTTCTTTTTTTATGTTACTAAAACTTGTGACAATACATTTTTTTATTTTTCTTTACCATGTTAAAACTATTGTAAACAAAATATATACAGAATTACTGGATCCGTTCAACTTGGCTGAACTCAAACATAATCTATAAGAGTAAAACACTCTGCTACACGCGTCCTTCTTTGCTCCTCTTTTGTGTGAGGTTCCGCAGGGCTCAGGTTTAGGCCCCCTCCTCTTCACACTGTACCTGCTCCCTCTTGGCTCTATTTTTAGAAAATATGGGATCTCCTTTCATTGTTACGCAGATGATACACAGATATATGTCCCGCTAAAGAAA